TTTTTATTATTTTTTTTTTTTGCTTTCGAAAGTTTTCTTCAAGGTTGGGGTGGGAGCGGTAATTATATTTACGAATCGTAAAAGTAAAACTCAACTTACCTTCGCCTGAAAATTAATCCCATGTTGAAAGGCTTCCTCACTGTGCAGCGGTATCCGGCTGTCGTACCCGTCATCAGAGACAAGATCATATTGTTTCTTGGAAGGCATAACAAATGGTAATAAGAGAGCTCCGTTTTTGATAGCCTTTTACCTGATTTGACCTTTTTTTTTTCTTTTTTTCTTTCTCTTCCCCGGTTTGGTTTAAATTTTTTTTTTTTTCGAAATATATTCACCTTCGTTTCATTGAGCCAATGGTTTCCAAGTCGTAAAGTAAGCAGAGGTTTTTTGAAAAATAAATCCAGGTCTAGTTTCTTTTACGTACACAACAGTTGCATTTTGGTAATAACGCATATGCATAGACATTGCTTAACTTTCCGATGTCTGTTACTCCCTTTGGGTGATCTATACATACATACATGTACACAAACACAAAAATATATATATATATATATATATATATATATATATATATATATATATATATATATATATATATATATATATATATATATATATGTATGTATGTATGTATGTACTTAGAGATGAAGGTTTATGCTCGAAGTGGTTGTCGTTTCCATACTTAGTTGGATAATCCTTGAATGAGATCGACACCCCGGGATTATCCTACCCTCAGAGGATAAATGAGGGAGAGATAGCCAGGGATGTTCTGTCCGGATTCCTCGGCGATTAAAAAATTTTTTTTTTTTTTTTTTTGATTAAAATTCGGATTTTGATTTCAAATTGTTGTAGTTGTTTTTGTTTTATTTCTCGAAAAGAATTTCGATAAATTTTAAAGATGAAAAAAAAAAACAAAAAACAAAAAATCCCGAAAAACAAGCCGCTTTTAATCGGCCGCTTTTAAAGACAAAAAAACAAGGGTAGATGGCATTTACTTAGCCAGGTTGAGCTTGGCACAAGGCCAGTGGTTAAGGGAAATCCAGTAAAGATCGAACTCACAGGTTGTTATCAACAAGAGGAGCTTGTTAACCATTACCACATCCCAGCGTAGGTACTACTGTATTTTTGCTTTCATTCTTTTTTTTTTTTTAGCCCCTGTTTAACATGTTATTTATCTTTTTACCGTGTGCTAAATGTTGATCCTGTCGTGCCTGAGGCCACCTGTTCTTCAGCGAAATGCACTTCTACCTTCTAGGATAGCACTTGTAAGTGTGTGCGTGTGTATACAAGATATCACTGTCGATAATAATAATAATAATAATAATAATAATAATAATAATAATAATAACAAAAACAAAAACAACAACAAGATCGAAGAGATGTTCTCACTTGTCTAAAATTAACAGCTACCGTAGATTTGAGGAGTAATTATTAAAGTCTTCACCCTTACTAGTTACACAAATGAACGTGTAGTAGCATTAGTTAGTAATATTACTAGTAGTATTAATTAGTGTTACTACTTAGCGAAGTGATGATTTTATACTTTCTTCGATTTGTGTGTGTGTCGGGGGGGCAGTAAATAAATAAATGATTTAAATAAATAAAATAATTAGTATCGAAGGTCGCTAAAATAATTTCTCTAGTCTCAACAGGAAGACACCATACACTCCTCAAAATGTTTTTTTTTCTTTTATTTTCGCCTTAAATTTAGTTAAAACCTGTATAGTAACAACAATTTCTTACATGAAAAAAAAGTTGCTTAAGTTTATTATTATTTATTAAGTTTAACTATGCGTCACCTAGTGGGGATTGAACTCGCATGTAACGTTAACTAAGAGTTGCTCGCGAACCAAAACAAATAGCTGTTGTAGAGTATATTTTTTTGTGGAGAGAGGCTATATTGTAAATCCCAAGAAGCACATCCTTTTTATGGTGTATATGTATATATATATATATATATATATTTTTTTTTTCCTGTGGAAATTTAAAATTTAAAAACTCACCATTTTGAATTATATCATTAAAAATAAACAAATAAACATAATTGTGTTATTTTCATTTCGTAGAAACGATAATTTTATCTTCCGTTTTAAGAGAAATGTAATTTTTTTATGGCTTCCATCTGATATTGTTTATGTTGCTTCTTTTGAAGCAACAAGAAGTGAACCATAAGAGAGGGTTTCGCATCTTCTGGTCCATGATCTTGTCTTATTGTCCTGGTTTGATGTTCTTGTGTGTTCGTCTGTCTCCACTTTCTTTCTTTCTCTCTCTCTCTCTTTACGTCTTTCAGTTTTCGCCCCCCTTTCTTCCAATAATTTTTACTGTCTATTGTGGCTGCTTTATCCTGCGCTCTCCTTATCCTCCCGATTGCTCTCCTTCTTCTCCCGATTGCTCTCCTTCTTCTCCCGATTGCTCTCCTTTTTTTTTTCTTTTTTTCTCCCTCGTTACTGTTGATGTTATTGAGAGTCGAAAAAGAGCTGCATTTCGTACACGAGAGAAAGGGTAGAAGCTTCAACTGCCCGCCCCTACCCCCAAAAAACGAAGCTCCCCACCGCCACACCCGACAACGTCAAGGCCTCCAACGTCACTCACTACTAGTTAGAAAACGTCGCAAAGTGGGGGTGTTCGACTGGAGGGGGGGAAAATTCGTGTGTTTTTTACCTGCTACAGCCGTTATAATTTCTTTCTTTAAAAATTCAGAGTTAGTTGATCCGTACACAATTTTCGGTGTACGTTCACGTATGTGTGCGTGTATCTGCACAACAGTGTCTGTAGTTGTGTACGTGTGTATTCGTGCGGGTCTGCCTGCCTAAGTGGACGAGTCTGGGTGCGTTGGTTGTATAGCGGGTAGGGTATTGAGTTGTGAGCTGTCGTTTGTTAAGATTAGGTTAGTCGGGTGCAAGGCCATGGTTTAAATGGTGCTTTGCAGAATCTTCCTGAATTTTTATTTTACGATATCGAAACTTTAATTTTTATTTATTCATTTATTTTTATTTTTTTGTGGATATAACTACCCTTAAGATCCCAATACCTCCCCGTAATCATTTAACTTTTCCTTTAATTGTCTTACTGTTCAACAGACATACCTGCACAATGTAGTAGATATTCGTCTGATACAATAGTTGCATACCCAGCGATGATTGAACTCAAACGCGGTGGGCTTGCAAAATACGCATCATGCGTACGGCTAGAAATCCGTAAAAACAGATCCACATTCTGTGTACGTGTGTACAAATGTATGAGTGTGTGTTTTTATGGGTGTGTGTGTGCGTTTGTTATTGTTTCTTCTCGATGTTATTCTTTCTCTATTTTTCTCGCTATTTTCTAATTCTTCTTCTTCTTCTTCTTCTTCTCCTTCTACTTCTTCTTTCTCTCCATCTTCTTTTTTTCTCTCTATCTTTTACTTGTAATTCTACCTCTCATTTTTTTCTTTTCTTTCTTTCATTCTTCTTTTGTCTTCCCTCTCCCTCCCTACACTGTTCTTCTACAACTCTATTCATTCTTTCTCTTTTCTTCTTCTTCTTTTTCTTCTTCTTTTTCTTCTTCTTCTTCTTCTTTCGCCCGTCTCCTTCAACCCTTCTTCTTCTTCTTCTTCTTCTTCTTCTTCTTCTTCTTCTTCTTCTCTTAGTTCACTAAACGCAATTGTTACGAACATAGTGAGATTATTGGGGTACACAGAGAAGGACGTCATAAAGTAACTAATGACAGCGCGGGTTTCTCAAGTTTATTTAGGGTATCTATCTATCTATCTATCTATCTATCTATCTATCTATCTATCTATCTATCTATCTATCTATTCATCGCAGTTTGGTCATATCTATTCATCATTCATCTATTCATCTATCTATCTATCTATCTATTCATCTATCTATCTATCTATCGTAGTTTGGTCATATCTATCTATCTATCTATCTATCTATCTATCTATCTATCTATCTATCGCAGTTTGGTCATATCTATCTATCTATCTATCTCGGTTTCAAGTCATATCTATCTATCTATCTATCTATCAGTATGTACTTTCCTTTAGTCTATTCATCCCTCTCTCTCTCTCTCTCTCTGTCTCTCTATCTATCTATCTATCTATCTATCTATCTATCTATCTATCTATCTGTATGTATGTACTTTCCTTCAGTCTATTCATATATTCATCTATCTATCTATCTATCTATCTATCTATCTATCTATCATCTATCTATCTAATCTCTGTATATATATATATATATATATATATATATATATATATATATATATATATATAGTTTATGATTGTGGAAAAAATTAAATATGGTCGCTAACAACTTTCTCGCTGTAGTGTAAGTGTAAGCGCAACTCTTGTAACGTACAGAGTTGATGAGACAATTTTGTTTTCGTGCAGGGATGTGCATATGCATTTCTGCATGCAAATCTTTCAATCTGGTTACTCATATGACTATGGAAATATGCACCACTGTGTATGTTTGCGTGTGTGCACGCGCACGCGCGTGTGTCTGTGTGTGTATGTGTGTGTAAGGTG